AAGAACTCGTCGAGCGCTACTCAGAACTCCCATCAGAACTATTGTGTTCCTGAGTACTGATTTTTTATCGAAAATGTTAGTTTTTTAAGATGTGCACCTTATGACAGCTGATAAAAGAAAAAGTATCGATTTGTCACTAAAACACCATTTGAATATTTTGAAGAACTCGTCGAGCGCTACTCAGAACTCCCATCAGAACTATTCTATTCTTAAGTAGCATTTTTTTATCGAAACTTAGTTTTTCAAGGTATGCTCCTTATGACAGCTGATAAAAGAAAAAGTATCGATTTGTCACTAAAACACAATGCGAATATTTTGAAGAACTCGTCGAGCGCTACTTAGATCTCCCATCAGAACTATTCTGTTCTTGAGTACCAATTTTTTATCGAAAATGTTAGTTTTTTAAGATATGCACCTTATGACAGCTGATAAATGAAAAAGTATCAATTTGTCTCTGAAACACAATTAGAATAATTCGAAGAACTCGTCGAGCGCTACTCAGAACTCCCATCAGAAATGTTCTGTTTTACGGATTGAATTTTTGATCGAAAATGCTAGTTTTTTGAGGTCAGCACCTTATGACAGCTGATGAATGAAGAAGTATCGATTGGTGGTCACTAAAACAGAATAAGAATATTTTGAAGAACTCGTCGAGCGCTACTCAGAACTCCCATCAGAACTATTCTGTTCCTGAGTACTGATTTTTTATCGAAAATGTTAGTTTTTTAAGATGTGCTCCTTATGACAGCTGATAGAAGAACTCGTCGAGCGCTACTCAGAACTCCCATCAGAACTGTCCTGTTCTTCGGAATAAATTTTTCACCTTATGACAGCTGATTTTTTTCTTCGTTTTTTTCAGATTTCACATTTCCTAATGATCCTCCTCCTTTTTCCTCGATAGCTTTTTCTTCAATACGAAACAGAACGGAATAGTATTTCACCAAGAAATGCTGGCTATAGAAACACATTTTCGTATTTCATTTCCTTAAATTATTCGATAATTTCCTTAGTTCACCAGAACTATTGATGAAATAGGTGTAGAACTCCAGAACTCTTTATAATACAACAAAAAAATATATCAGAACTCATTTTCTCGAAAAAAACGGCGCTGCGTGAAGTTAGCGCACAAAATTTATTTTTTCCAATGACACCTACGATTTGCTGGAACTATTCAAAATTTCAGTCAGGAACTCTAGAACTCTATCAAATCTACTCAGAACTAAAAAAAAAATTGAGTTTTTCGAAAAAAACGGCGCCAACTTCCCATGAGTCGTGAAATTTCAAGTTTTTAACAGTAATGACATCTGCGTTGTATAGGCATCTTTATCATTCTTTTGAAGTAATCAAATATCTGATGTCACTTCTGTCAGCCTAATTCTGTGATTTGATTTCAAAAAATTGCGAATTTAGTGGTTATTTAGTAATATACGTAACCGCGAAGTCGAATGGAAGATAAAAGGACTTGCAGTTCTTTCTCGGAGATGGTATTATTGACTAATTTTTCGGAACTATAGCACAACAAAAGCCATTAACAGTGTATATATTTGTGATATATATCCGGGAACAAAGTACTCACTTTTTCCCCACGGGAAAGAAGTAATTTATGAAAAGTGACATTTTATAACCTGCCAACAGAGATGAAATGCCAAACTTTTTTCCCGTCACAGAAAAATAGTTATTTATTATACAAGGGAAAAAAGTAGTAGATAGTAGAGGAGATAGTAGTAGAAAAAACCGTGAGCTAAAATCTTATATTTTTCCCGTATATAATGTATTCTGTGACAGAAGAGAGGACAAATTAATATTGGGAAGATATTACATTATTTTGAGATCTGAAAATTATTGACGTGACATTTCAAGTTTTTAACAGTAGAGAAACCTGCGTTTTAAACATCTTTATCATTCTTTTGAAGTTATCAAATATCTGATGTCACTTCTGTCAGTCTCATTCTGTGAATTGATTTAAAAAAATTGCGAATTTAATGGTTGTTTAGTAATATACGTAACCGCGAAGCAGTCGAATGGAAGATAAAAGGACTTGCAGTTCTTTCTCGGAGACAGTATTATTGACTCATTTTTCGGAACTATAGCACAACAAAAGCCATCAAAAGTGAATATACAGTGTGACCCACTTCTAATGGAACCACCCCTGTATCTTACGTAATCGTTGGGTAAGGATCCTCCTGAAATTTGCTGGAGCGAGAGATATACCAAAAATGCACTCTATGAGCGAGTGGGGTCATCTTCAGTGATATACACTGCTCGCCAACAGCCATGAAACTACCCCAATTTCCGGAAAATGATATAAGGTATCAAAATAGGTTGAAAATCACTTCAGATTTGGGATCAGGACGCCCAATTTACTAACTATTCAAATTTTTCCTGGAAAATTTTCAGTTCGGAAAAAAAAATTTTGTCGCATTTTTTATGGAAGCACCCCCGTATCTCACGTAATTGACTTTATCTTTGGACTTTCTCTTCCTCCGGCAAATTTCAGAACCCTACCTCAATAATTACGTGAGATACGGGGGTTTTTCCATGAGAAGTGAGACAAATTTTAATTTTACTGAACTGAAAATCTTCTAGGAAAACTTTGAATAGTTATTAACTTATTGGGCGTCCTGATTCCGAATCCGACGTGATTTTCGACGGAAATTGGGGTGGTTTCATGGCTGTTGGCGGGCAGTGTATGTCACTGCAGATGACCCCACTTGGTCATCATTTTTGGTATATTTCTCGCTCCAGCAAATTTCAGGATCCTTACACAGCGATTACGTAAGATACAGGGGTGGTTCCATTAGAAGAGGGTCACACTGTATATGTCATATTTATCCGGGAAAAAAAGTACTCACTTTTTTCCCACGGGAAAAAAGTAATTTATGAAAAGTGACATTTTATAACCTGCCAACAGAGATGAAATGCCAAACTTTTTTCCCGTCAGAGAAAAAATAATGTTAGCTCTCATTTACGTCTAACCTGACTTGTCAGTCACTTGATGTGATTCTTGTTACTTTGGTTTTTAACATTTTTCAATAGGTTTTTCTCACGCCCAATTCTCAACTAGGTACTGAGAGCAAGGAGAATCTGGACGCATCCAGAATGAATTATCCTTCCGAGAACAAGTTGATTTTCATTTGATTCTCCTTTCAACCGGAATTCGTAGAGTGTTCCAAATTTGGGTCACTTTTGAGAAAACTCTTGATCTTTGATATTTATCTTGATCCTGATCTTCAGATCTCTTCATCTGGAGTTTCATCTTCAAAATAAGCCTGAGATTTCAAAAATCGGTTGACGTGGAAAAAAGTTAATTTGTGGAGATCACTTTGTGAATAAGAGAGATAGGAAGACAATTCGCGAAGTATCTCAAGGTACATGCCTCTGTTATCAAAGTTGAGAGAAACATTTTTTCTTCATTTGGGATCCTCTTGAATATTCCAAAATTTTACACGGGTCGGAAAACACCATGTACTATGTAGAGATCTCATGTGAAAACCCATACCTAAGTATGTTATGAGTTTTTTTCCACTATATTTAGTCGCAGGAGAAATGAACTGGGCCTTCAGTTCCTTGAATGTTTGTCGGGATTATCCAGTGCCGGATTCATACTTTTCATGAGAATTTCGCGCCGCCCTTCATCTTTCGATGAAGTTCACACGTTTCACTCACTAATATAGGCCGTTGATATATTTAGGTGTTCACAGGGCAGAGCTCACTATAATATCCTACCAAAGTAATCTGAGATGTAAGAAAATCAAGAAAATTGTTGACTATTTCTAAAACTGAAAACGGATCATTATAAGATGAATTTTCTTACGAATTAAGCTTTTTTGTGTTTTTTCTATTCAATATTGTGTTGCCCAATTTCAACATTGAAAAGTGAAAAAAAAACTAGAATCACATTTTTTTATGAGATATGTTTTATGAATATCATCATAGTATTTCGTGTTAGTTGTGTCTGCTTCTATGCATAGAGAGACGGAGAGTTCAGTTGTTCTTGATATAATGACGACCTTTTTGTGGTCTGATAGCCAAAGCGCTATGCAGAAGGCTATATGTCCATGTTCGAGTCCTTTTCTCTCGACTTCGTGGTTACGTAAGTCACTAAACAACCACTAAATTCGCAAATTTTTAAAATCAAATCACAGAATTAGACTGACAGAAGCCGAGCGAAAGCAAAATTTGCGAGTCAAACAAAGTCACTTTTGATCCGAATGAAACATGCTATTTTTTCTGCAACCGAAAGAATTAACTAAAATAGATTTGTGAAGTAACCCCCAATGTGACTTACTTGACAGATTATTATAATACCTTCATTATTATATTATATATCATAGAATATTGGTGGACGATGATTTTACTTTGTTACAATTTGTGTTGACCTGCATCATCAGATAGGTACTACAGGCACGAATTCAATTCTATAACCGAAACGTGGATGCCGTGTCATATGTATATTCTACCTGTATTTGCATATCGTTTTTTTTGCAAACGTCATTCAGTTCCCACCACCGTTACCAGAATGGAACGAATGAAACGCAAATTTAGTCTGAGGAAACAATTGAAGAGTGGGCGCACCAGAGGAATTATAAACATCTCCACACTTAGGTGAGCCGACGCCATCACCTTGGACGCCATCCACCTTGCCGCTGCCTATGAACAAAATGGATGCTAGGTTGATTTCGATACCACGTCAAAGTCATGAACGACAGCTTGGGGGTTCCTGCGTATTGAGCAGAAGCGTTTTCAGGCGAGCAACTGACCTTACATTTTCGGGTTGCTGCGATATGACTACTAGCAGTCTAGATAGAGTAATAAGTCGGTGGTCCGAACTCTTGTCTACTATAATACCATCCAGTGACTCTAGGTTCACTTAAGCTAGCAGATCCGTTGGTTTTTTCTGTTTAATGGAGGGTAATGAATTAGTAACTAATTATAGCACTATCGCAAATCTGAAATATTGAAGTGGTTCTGCTAAGTTTATTGGGGTATTATCGCTTTACCTTGCAGTACGAGTTTCCGTTGGTTCTCGGTGTTGGACTCCAAGGCGTCGAAGACGGCAGCGCCGATGAGCAGGTAGGTGAAGGTGCACACGATCAGCGACAAGGTGCGGACGTTTTGCTTCTTCATCCTCTAGCGCGCCTCATGCTGGAGCCTGGCCGCGAGGCCGAGGGCCGCCGGCGGGCTGCCTCCCGCGCCGCTATCTGCCCCCCGAGCGGCGGCTCTTCCCTGGCCACGGCGTCACGCCCTCTGAAACAAAAAACACGGAAACACTGATTATAACCCTAACAACACCAGTACATCCTAGGGACTTCCCATGGACGTCCCTGATTTTATACTAGGACATCCCAGGGATGTCCTTTGTCGGGACAACGTACATTATAGGGATGTCCCAGGGACATCCGCTGGCCGCTAAAAAAGGCATCTGAGGGATGTCCTTCTGGTACGTCCCTGGGATGTACCAAGTACGATGGAAGGATATCCCTAGGACGTCCCAAGGATATCCCAGGGACATCCTTTCGACAAAAGAAAAAAGTTGCAGGTCGAGTAGGGATTGAACCCGGGACCTTTGGCTTATCATGCCACCTGAAAATTTATGTACTAAACAGATTTATAAACAGGACTTAACTACAGAAACCTGAATAAATACATTTTTATTAGGAATTGGGTATAATTATTATCATTCTTGGGTGTTTGAAAATGAGGGACATTATGCATGTACGATTTCTGTCTGCGAAAAATGGTAATTTCTCAAGAAGTTCTGAGACTTTATTCTTTATCTTCATTACAATCATTTTCCGGAAGAGAAACAAACATTTTCAAAAAAATTCAACTCAATAGTTTGATGAAATTCAATGACTCTGATGTGAATGGATATCAGATACTCCAGGGACACGAATAGGATAACCTAGGGATGTACCGGGCGGGATGTCCACTGGACAACCACTGCAGGACATCCCCTGGATGTCCCAATCATGTCCTTGTACCGCGGGACAAAAAAGGGACGTACCTAGGACATCCCTGTGTTGTTAGGGAACTATAAACATAGATGAACTTTGAAAATCATCCATTCTCAAAGTGGCCCCACAGTATTCATGAATGAAAGAAAAAACTCCAAGTCGGTCGACCTCACTTTATATCAAAAAATGTTAACAAATAGATAGCGGTCAAGTAGCTATCTGGTACAGCCCTGTACTGATGAGAGCCAACAGCTCAAAACCGGTCTGCAGGTAGTCAGGCGGTCCTGAACCACTTAGGCGCAGCTCGGCGTTTAGGAAGGAAACACTTGCGATCTTATTCGTCTATACGAATTATTGCATAGGTTTCGAGAGGATGTAATCGAATGTTCTGCATGGCATATAGCCAGGAAAGTAGTTGTTTTTCTCTCGTTATCTACCATTTTCGTTCATTTTATGAACTATTGTGGTAATGACTTTGAGTTTCTCTCTATTTGTAACCATTGCATCCCACTTCGAGTATTTGGCTTTTTCCTAGTTGAAAAAATTTCGATTTAGAAAGTGACCGGTTTCGGAGAAATGGACATCATCAGACTATAACGACCTGTTATGGGTCAGGAAAACAAACAGTACAATGGGCGTGTACACCTTAGTAGAACTTTTAACTCAAACCATGTTTATAATGATCCTTTTATACATAAATAATGATTGACGACATAATTCGATCGAAAAATTAACTGGAATGTTTTATTTTTGGACATAAATGATAGTACCTTCTGAAAACGGAGACCCTCTTATGACGTAGAAACCCCATCTCGCCATATATACCATGTATATCTACTACTGATATATGAATCATAGCTCTCCTCAAAGCGGGACCCATTTCTGTCTCTATAGGTAATGAAATCGACCAATAGGCGTTGATACCGACGTAGGGATAAAATAATAGGAAATTTGTCAAACCAATATGGCTGTTTCCATCCTTCACTTTTCGTTCTCATAGATTCAAAGAGTACCTCTCATTTTGGTCCCATTTTTGTTGAGATATCGTATAGGCGATGCGCCATATATAGAAATAGTAGATATATGGTTGAAACTGACACTCTCCTGACACTTATTACTGTTGCCATATCATCCAAACAAAATATCCGAGAAATCGAAATCGATATTGAAATATCTTTTGATATCCACTACCACTACTGCAGAAAAATATATTCAAGTTGTCGATTGTAGGTTGAATCATTGGAGTATAAACAATCTCTAGACAACGAAATGTCTCAATCTCAAAACCATTTGCACCATTACAATTTCACAATAATCCAATATATTTCATAAACATAGCAACATTGCTTTGTTGACCCGTTTCACGTGGAGCTGCAAAAAGTCAATCTAGGTTAGAATTGATTTGTCAGAAATCATGTATCATTCATCTCTGTCTGGAATAGTCTTGTTTCAGTATTAGGGTTTTGACGTCACATCATCGCCTCGTTTTCAGAGGTCCGAAAAATCGGGGATTTCAATAATTTTTTATAAAACGTAGGGAGCTCACAGCAAGAAACGGTTTGCGGTGGTGAGCTAGTTTGGGTGAGTTCTATCGAATTATGAAATAAAATTTTTTTGTGATATAAGCCCATTGAAATTGAATTACATAATAAGCTTCGTGATAAGTTGGATTCAATACCATTCTTTTAATTTGAAATTTTTTCATATAAAGTGTGGTCGACCGACTTTTTTTCCTTTCATTTATGAGATACATAGATGACTGTGGGTTAATCGAGGAGATGGTACATTAGTTTTCAAATTCGAAAACAAAAACGATGGCTAACATTATTCATGGTCCAGCAAACAGCGCCACCAAAACATGAGATCCGGGTTGGTAGAACTAATAAAAAATATAATTCTTATTTTCTTGTCATTTGGCCTTATGCTATGATATCTTCTTCTCCGTTAAAACCCATTAACGTCCAAGATATTATGGATTAGAAATTTCGATTATTTTTCATAATGGCTAAGTAGGGATACTGGGATACATAGATAAAACAACGAGAAAGCATTCAGAAAAATATTGATTCATAACATCAAAAAAAACGAGTGGGTGCGTAAGCGCACCTTTGGCCAAAAACAGTTGTTAAAATATTAGAATACAAAAACAATCAATAGGTACAGAATACCCTATTTCTTCAAATGATAACTTTTAAAACAATCTGGATTCAGATGCACCTTGTATTTCTTACATAGATAAATTGTGTTACTTTTACAAAATCGACATTTTTTTCTTGCACTGCTGATATCTTTCATTATCAAATGTCCGACATTATCAAACCTAATATCGTCTGGTAGAGCTGATTTGGACGGTCTTCCATGCATTGAATTCGATTGTGCTGGATCTAAGGTATATCACCAGTATTGCCAGATTGTCCACTATACATCTCAGTAGACTAAGTACTAGTTGTGAATGAAATTCAAGTTGTGAAATCTTAGATTCATTAGCAATTTTGTGAATTTTCCAACTATTCACAACAATACTGTCGATCATATTCGTGAACAGCGGCCACCACCACTCCTTTCCTCTTATCCCAATCCGATAGTTTGCGATGCCATTATCATGGAGGTCTACTCCTCCCATATATTTATTATACTGGTGTATAACATTCGGCTGCGGTATAAGAACTTCTTTATGTTCTTTCCGATTGTAGCGTTTAGCTTGAACAAGAGGTAGAACATCACATGTATTGGTCATCACCGTTACTACAGAATTGTCATTCCACCGCACAACTAAAACTTCGAGTCTGCGATCGAACGCACAAGTGTGAGAACCTCTGACCATTTTAGCCATCGCTTCACTTTCTCCTAGGGGGCATTTTGCAGTGCGGTTTTTCCTCACTGTTCCCGTTGCAAAAAATCCTTTTTCTCTCAAGCTCATGAAAAGGAAATATGAAGAGAAGAAATTATCGAAAAATATCCTATGTTGATGTGGATTTTCAACCACTGACAGTAGCTCCAAAACAACTCTCGTTCCTAATGCAGTTTGGTTAGCTTTCTGATTTTCCGCCATATGGAATGAACATGAATAAGTAACCAGTATCAGAACAGAGACACCAAAGCTTGAAACCAAATCTTACTGGTTTTCCACGAATGAACATTTTGCAGAAATGACGTCCGAAATACGGTACCATATCTTCATCGATAGAAAGATTTTCTGCAAGAATTCCAAACTGCATATTCTTCCTGTTGATAATATCGAAAATAGGAGTCAATTTAGAAAATTTTTAATTTTTATCTAGCATTGTATTGTCTGCCAAATGAATGTTCTGCTTTATTGATCTGAATTTATTTCGACTCATACTTTCTCTCACAATACGCACTTCTTTATCTTCATCCTTCGACCAGTACATGTCAGTTTGTAGCAGAGAATGATATCCAGATAAAATCAGTATACCAATAAACTTCTTCAAATCTGATTCATTGTTCACCGCGTATTCGGCCAGAGGTGCGTATACGCAACCATCACAAGTACATGCAAAAATGAACGACGTCTCGAAAATATATATGAAAATGAATATACATGTTATTATTATGCATATTTTCTAGTATCGATCAGCTCAAGGTAATTGGTATAATTTTATATTCAGTGTTGAAAAATAAAAATGTTTGAGAATGTACATGAACGGTCAATTGAATAACATTTTCAAGTTATTTTCATGAATTGAAAATATCGTTATTTTAATTAAAAAAAAATATTTTGACTGCTTCTGTACTATTGTGATGGATATCAATCAGAATAAGAATGGAAGTTTGATCCTGACCATGCAAAAAAAATGTTTTTAAAAAGTTGCGCTCACGCACCTTTGGCGGTTAATGGGTGTAGAATTGGTCGTAAAGTTCCACATTGAGAGTAAAAAGACGTAAGACGGCTCACACATCTTTCGATAACTTGAGCTATTTTATTCGTTCATATACAGTGTGTCCCAATTTCGATCCTCACCATTGGGATCTCAGTAACTATGAGAGATAGAGAAACGGTTAAATTAGCAAAATTGTAGCAAATTTAATGTTGAATCAGAATCTATCGAGAAATCCCGGCTAGTTTTAGTCATTCCTGAGTTATTTGAGAAAAACTGATATCCTGTATTTTTATTTTTCTCGAATATCTCGGAAACTATTGATTTTATGAAAAAATGATTTCAACATTCTTATAGATCTTTTTGGTGCTCTTTTCAATGGTTTCGTCAGTTTTCTATCAAAATGTCAAATTTCTGAGATATCACCTACAACTTCAATTTTTCTCATGGACGCCATTTTGGATTTTCACAGATTTGAAATCGGCATAAAATTTCCTTTCTAGTGATGTATCACAATCACAGTTTCATTCTATTTGTGGTACTGATTTCCAATTTTTGTTTCCATGTCCA